CCACTCGGCGATTTGGGGCTTGGGGACACCGGGAATGTGGCCCTGGGGGGGAAAACTGGGAATTTCCATGGTGAAAATGCTACCTGGGGCAGCTGAGGTGTGCTTTGATGAAAGGAATGGCTCAGTGCAGAGCCTGGAGTGCAGCACTCACTCTGAGCTGGGCTTGGGAGCTGCACCAAGCCCGAACTGAGCCTTCAGGACCCCCAAACGCTGCTGAAACCCCCAGGCTGAGGACACGAAGCTGCCCTGAGCTGTGTGAGCATCTGCCCGACTCTGCTCCAGCTCCTGCTGCTCTCCCCGAGCCCTTGAGCTGGGGCCAGCCTCTCCAAACCCTGCTCCTTTTATTCCCCAAGCCCTGATCTTTTTGCCCTCCAAACCCCGTTCTTTTTACTCCCCAAACCCCTCTCCTTTTACTCCCTAAACCCTGCTCTTTTTGCCCTCCAAACCCTGCTCTTTTTGCCCTCCAAACCCTGCTCTTTTTGCCCTCCAAACCCTGCTCTTTTTGCTCCCCGAACAAACGGCAGCATCCAGCGCTTGGAGAGCCCCGAGCGCAGCCGACCTCGCCCCCACCCCGTGCCCGAGCCCCTCCCGGCGCTACCGGGGCTGAATTCAGCCCCTGCCCGGGCAGGCGCCGGCCTCGCGGTGCTCCTTTGTGCCTCGGGGCCCCACAACAAGGCTTTCATTCACTGCCACTCATTGTCCCCGCTCATTCAGTGACATTCGCCGGGCTGGTTTTGATCGCGGCCCGGCGATGAATGGAGCACAAAGCGCCCTCCATGTGTTCCGCCCCGATTTGCCATTAGCGAGGAGCGGGGGGGACACTCGTCGAGAAGAATAACCAGCCTCAATTACACGTTCCAGCCACTCGAGTGGCCCGGGAGTCCATCACACTGAGAGTTCTGTCAATGAACACCGGGAGAATTCGCACCCGCCGCTCGTTAGGGGAGCCCGCGCTGCCTCTGCCAGGGGCTGGGTGGGCTCGGTGCCAGTGTGGCTCTGCCACTGTCCCCTGGCAGCTGGGCATCCCTCTGCACGCCTGGGGGCGAAGGTGGGATTGCTCAATAGAAAAAAGAAAAAACAAATAAAAGGCAGGAAAAAAACCCAATAAAAAAGGGCAATTTGCACGGCAGCGGCAGCAGCAGGTCCTGCGGGAGCGTGGCTCGGGTCAAGGTCACTCGTGTCACCCTTCCTCCTGCTGGGAAAGCCAAAAATCATGGCTGGATTCAGTAGCAGCTTTGGGAAGGGTTTTGCAGGAGCTGCGGACACCCGAGGAGCGCTGGGGGCAGGAGCCAGCCCGGGATGTGACAAAAAGCGGCGGCGCTGGGGGAGCAGGGGGGACCCAGCCCCGG